AATGACGCATCATGTTGGAGGACACACATCGTATTTTGAGAGAAAAGAGATGGCAATCATATGTCCTCCCTTCTTCTGTCACAGATTCAGCTAGTGGATCTGGAAACATCGTGTGTGTGACTACCGGCATATGACATATACGAAACTGGGCGAGATATCAGGGGATCAGAACTGCAGGGTTTAGGGATAGCTTAATTCTTATTTTGTCAGGGAACACGGCAGTGTATAATTATTTTCACACATACAAAATCCTGAAGGTTTTTCACATCAAGTGTAGGAAAACATGTTCATCCTTAACTTGCAGGTGGTGTAACATTAAGTCCTTGGAGGGAAGGGTAAATGGCATAACATTACACCCAATGCTAGGGATCACCCCTGCCTTGGGCCTCAGCCCTCGACTCAATGGTCTTTTCCCTCCCCTTCTTCTCCAACCATTTCTATTGTCCATTTCCTAAGGGGTAAGAGCTGTGCTGAAAAGATGAAAGGCTGACTTTATGCCAGTCATGAATGGTTTGGGGGAGCCATGGGCACGGTATTCCCCCTACCCCTCAAGGGGACCCTGAGGGATGGACTGTTTCTTTCCCCAACATACTCTAGACTTGCCATGGCCAATAATGAAGAGTTTACCATTATTAGGGGCAATAAGGCTTGCCCCTTCATCAGATAGCTCCATTGATTCAAATTTTCCTGGTTCCCTGGTTCCCTGACTCCAGTCTCTCCTTTGACCATGACTCTGAATGCTGCTACTACTATCCCCTCCCCAATCATCCACTCAGGTCAATATTCAACCTCTAAGATACATTCCTCCTCTCCAAACATCCTCTACTTCATTCTACATCTCCCCCAGCATCTCTTCCTCATCCCATTTCTACCCCCTCCCTCTCTCAGTCAAATTCTTTTGTCATTCTAAAGCCAGACACCACAATCTCCTCCACTGTTCCAGACACTCCAGTCACTACTTCCCCAATACCTAAGCCTCTTCCTCCTCACTCAATTCATAGCACAAAACAAGCTAAACACTCCATCCCATCTTCAACTCCATCCTCTCCATCAGCCTCTCTTTTCACTCCTCAAACATGTCCCCTCCTCTCCCTTCCCCATATGAAAACCTTTGTTTCTCAGACCTCTCCATCTGACTCCACTGCAGAAACTCTCAAAGACATTCAAAACTATCTAATCATGACCCAAGTTAAAATGCTTGGACCTCAACCGTCGTCCAATCTCTCTACTCCCATTCCTTCTACACTCAAAGTAGCTGCTGTCATCCATCCTCCTCCTCCCCTGGATGTGATCCTTTGTCACAGCAACCACCTTCCCTAGATTCTATCCCTCCTGACATTTTCTGAAGCTACCCTTACCCTACAGACATATTTGCAAAATCCCACACATCATCTTCTATTACTCCTTTTAATGTCTGTGAGACTGGAAGATAGGGATCCAGATACATTTCAGGTCAACTGGAGGAGGTAAATTATTTTGCCTTTTTCTTCCTACTCTTACCTCCCTCATGTTCCAGGTAATAAATCATGTCATGTCATACCATGTTCTTATTTCACTTCCTTGATTTCTGTTCCCTAGAAGATTCATGGTAAAAAATCAAACCTACTCTAATAAGACAACTTACATGGTTAATGGTTAATGGTTAAAAGCAAGATAAATGTGCTAGACATCTAAGGTCATGTAGCACTATAGTTAATGTTAGTGAAGGGTGGTTGAGTTAGTGATTAGTTGTCTAAGCTGGGCAAAGGAATTAGTGAGTGAAAGGGTTAAGGTCAGGTGTTATATTAGATAAAGGGTATGCATAAGAAAGGTTTCTTGAAGGCATACAATAGATGGGTTATAAGAGGAAAGGATATGATGGTCAGGTCTGTGGGAGCGGAAACCGCGAATATTCCAATGAAGGATAGTTATACTTTCGTTGATTTAGTGATATAGATTGTAGTACGTGTTGGAGAATTTGAAGGGGAAGCAGCTAGAGGGTGGGATAAGGACTGAGAGGTTTGAGATGGGAGAGGTGTGGGAGTTGGTGTTCTATCAGGAGGGGTAGTAGGAGATGGAGGGTCTGAGGAAGGGGATACTTGTGACATAAGGGATTCACGTGTGTATCCAGGAGGGAGTGGAAGGGATAGAGGGGATGGTGGGAGAGTTAATGTGGGCAGGGTCAGGGGGGATGGCCTGTGTTGGGAGGGGGTAGGAGGGTAGGGTGTAGGGGGGATATCGTTAGGAGGAGGATGGATATCAGCAATTACTTGGAGTGTGGAAGGAGCAGGAGTTGTAGGTTGAGTGTCGGTTTTCATTAAGTAGTCTTGAATATTTTCAATAGTCTCTTCTGTGGAGTTGGTTGGGGAGTTTTGGGGGATAAAGGATTTCTTGTGAGGGGGGGAAGAGAGGACTGGTGTCTCAAGAGTACGGGCAAAGGATGGTGGGGGTGATTGTGTGGTAGGGGAAGAGGGGGTGGAACGTTTGTTCTGTCTGTTACGGGGAGTGCGAGGAGGGAGAGGGGAAGGTGTTGGGGTTGTAGTGGTGATTGGAGTATCTGTAGTAGAGATTGGAGTTTCTGGATTTAGGATGGCAAAAGAGTTTGACTGGGGAAGGTAGGTGGGGTTAGTGGGGGGGTTAGATGTAGGAGGGGTGGGTTTAGGAGAAGTGTTAGGATGAGCAGTATTACTGGAGTAAGGAGTAAGAGAGAATCCACGTCGACGTGCTTCCTGTCTGGCTTCACGCAGTGTGAGTCCGAGTTTGAATCTGAGAGTTGCTACCTCAGATTCAAATTTGTAGGTGGGACAGCCCCTATAAAATACATTATGGGGGCCGCCACAGTTGGCACATGTGCGTGATTGTGCAGAGCAGTTAGATCGGGTATGGCCAGGTTGGGCACATAATGGGCATCTGGCTGTGGAACGGCAGTGTTTGGCTGGGTGTCCTAGACGCCAACAATTTTGGCACTGACGTGGAGGAGGTTGGTATGGACGAACAGGGAGGGATTCTCCTCCTATGTAGACGTTAAAGGGAAGGTCATGTCTACGGAAGGTAATTTTGGCTATGTTAGTGGGTTTCTTTCGATGACCTCTGGGGGGGATGGAATAGCATTGTACTGATGTTGCATCGTAGTCTGTGAGACAGGCAAGTAGATCTTCTCCACAATCTGACCATTCTTTGTCATAGATTGGGCAATTTGTTGGTGAGATTGAGACTGTTCCGGTGCAAGTATTGAGGGTTGGATGGGGTTCTGCTAGGATGGGGTTACCATATAGGTCAGTTAGTTTTGTTAGTGCTATGGCTTGGTTTTCGGATGTTACTGTTACAAGACGGGAGCGGTCGGGTCGGCTACGGAAAGAGACTTTACCTACTTGTTTTTGGAGGCATTGTTGGAAGAGAAGGGTGTTGTTAGAGTAGGGAGCTGTGGGAGGGATCACGAAAAATCGGTCCCATTTGGCTGCACTGAAGAGAGTATTCAAGATTGTTTTAGAGATAGGGGTGGTAGAAGGGCGAGGGCGTGACGAAGATGGAGTTGTGTTGATGGAGGTAGTGTTATGGAGAGGTGGGCTATAAGGCTGTAAGGTATTAATAAGGGAGGATGGGGTGGTTGATGTTGGAGGTTGTGGGGGTAGAGGTGTTGAAGTTGGGCATGCTGGGAGAGTGGAAATGTCCCTTGAGGGTTGATTGTTGGCTACTGTACTAGTAGGCATTGGTGAAGGGGTAGTTATTGCAGTGTTTGGAGCCGTGGTCAAAGGAGAGCCTGGGGTCGGGAAATCGGGTGGGTTTACTTCGTTGGGGCTATTTGATAAAGGGGCAAGCCTCATTGCCCCTAACATTGGTGATATATTTTCATTACTGGCCATGGGAAGCCTGGATTATGTTGGGGATAAAAGCAGTCCACCCCTCAGGGTCCCCTTGAGGGGTAAGGGCTAGATAACTAAATCAGGGGAATACCGTGCCCATGGCTCCCTCAGGCCGTTCAGGGCTGGCACAAAGTCAGCCTTTCATCCTTTCAGCACGGCTCTCACACCTTAGGAGGTGGATAGCAGAAGGGTTTGGTGAAGGGACAGAAACAAAAGTGGGAAGGGAAAAAAAAGACCATGCATAATTAGTTGAGTCGAGGGCTGAGTCCCAAGGTTGGGGAGTTCCCCATCATTGGGTCCCAGTCTCCGCCTCCTAAGCCCCCCCACGACAACAACGGGCAAGGGATTGGGGGGGAACTTACATGGTATAATGCATAAACCTATTTCCATTTACTTGTTGTTTGTGTCTGAGGCATCATTTATTTTAAGTAGCTTAAATTACAAACAGGGCCTGTGGATGTGAATGTATGCTTTGGAAGACTGATGGTATTTTTCTCTAATTAACTAATTATACCTAACTAGAAAAAAATAATTTATCTTGATTCTCATTAGAATAATATATACTCACTCTTTAAGAAACATTTTTCCTTTTGTAATTTACAAACACTAACTTTCTTCCCTATTATGTAGTAAGCATAGAGTGATGATCTCTTACTTATGAAGCTTGTTCACATCAGAGATAAACTACCAGTTCCAATGTTGGATCTGCCACACCATTTTCTATAACAGTAAGCAGCAAACATTGTCTATTATGTTTCATAATTTGAAATTGAAGAAATGTTGAAAAAGATACATGAAGAACATACTAAGTGCTTTTTATGTTTCTACTTTAAACAGTAACCCAATAACTATAATATAATTTCATCTATTCCCATGAACATGCTTGTGTTCATAAATTTATTACATCTACTGGACCATTATAGAAGGCACTGGTGGGCTACTGAGATGGTGATTGTTGTAACTTGTTCATAGCAACATGAAACCTATAATATCTGTATAATGTACTTTGTCTGGTATGTCTTGCTTCTCAATATTCTTTATTAGGAATTTATGTCAACAAATCTTGTTTTGATGAAGAGTCTAAAAGGAATGATTATCTAAGAAATTACTCATATCTTGAAGAACAGATGAAGTTCTTGAGCTTTCCAAAGGCATAGGTGTGTTATAAGAATGTTTTATTATGATTAAATATCTCATTGACTAACAGCATACATATTTACATAATCAACATTTACAAAATGGGTGCACTAAGTACATACTTCTCCATGATTACCTTACTTTACAAACACATTCTATACATAAAACAAATAATTTGTTCATAAATAACTTTTGCCAGTACCAGTAATAATAGGAATAAAGCCTACTCTGAGCTATTAACTTTGGCCAAGTTACGCAATCTGAATTCGGATTACTTCTTTGGAATCGGTCATAGCGGTTCATTCTAGTGCTTGTAACTTCACTGATGATTTCAGTATACAAGAAAGTGATAGACTTAAAACCAAACAAGAAATCTAATCAGAATCCCAGTGCTGATACACATTTTTGCTCCTTTCTGCTCACAACTGAAATTCCCTTTAGGATATCAGTCTACGTGACTTCAGCATCCTCTCTAGCCGTGCAATCTTGCTCATCTCGTGCTCTGGGCTTGAGTTGGCTGTTGAGCTGACCACAGGTGAGGCTTGGCTGGGTGGGAGTTGCGCTGCTACTTGGCTGCTGCTGCCTGGCGAAACCTGCGCTCGGTGAGGAGATTCTGTTGAATTTCCGAGGGTCCGTTGTCGGTAGAGCTCTAGCACTGAGGCACGGTCCTTTACACCTCTCATCTCTAGTACCTGTTAGGTGTGAATTTTACAATTACAGGTTGAAGCATGAAAAAAGTTCTCTCTCTGCTTTTGTCTGTATCTCAGTTTGTTGCCCTCTACCTGTTCATGTCCATTTAAGTACCTGACCAAAAAAGATGAAGAAGAAGAAAAAGAAGAAGAAAAAAGTTTATGAATTCTGGCTATTGTCACTTGAAAAATGTATGTCAAAATTTGGACCCACTCCTTAAACAAATATATCTAAGGCCATTGCTGCAAATCTTTTTGTCAACTATCTTATGTATATTATATCTATTTTTTTCTGATAAGGTCATAAAACCACTAAAATTTCTCATTATGTTGCATATGGTAACTCAACACTCACATTAAAAAAACATAACATTTAATTACATACATATATGTAATTAAAAGTTATACATTTATGGATAGGAAATATTATATGCTAAACTGAAAAAATAAAACCCTGCTTACCTTCTGGAAGTCTGCAATTGTTGCATCTGGTAGTAAACGAATGAACTTATCAACAAGGTCATTGTGTGTTGCATATTCACCCATCACAACCTGCAAAATGAAATTTCTATGAAACAAAATTTGAAAGAGAGTTATTCTATTTCATCCTATATAAATGATTTTAATGTGACCAGAATATAGAAAAAAAACAATGAAACTAAGTTCAGTAACTACTTTCTTTGCACATTTTCAATGTCACTTTAGTAACATCTGACATATTTTCAGATCAATTCTCCCTCCTTCTTTGTCACCCGTCTTCAATATCCAACTTCATTCTAAATAACAATGATAAGTCCAATTTATCTCCAATAACATCTTACTCCCATCAAGGATATCAGTCTCTACACTATCACTCTGCCTACACCTATCCAGAGACATGTATATAATAATTCCATCTCATCTTCTACTGGCTCACACCTACCTGCAGTACCAGTTCTGCTCGTGCCATGCCTCTGCCAACCATTCGTGTATATGTCTGGGGAGGGTCACGCCGCATCTGTATGTGATGAATGGTAACTTTACTTTAAAAGTTTTGATGTCTTATTTATATGAGTTACAAGATAAATACAAACCAAAAATGGTCGAAAGTTAAACCACATGAGCAATGTCAGATTTAAAAAAACATGTAGTCATTACGTATATTCAAACCAGAGGTATTATTACCTGCAATGCTACTACAGGTAACTGTAACATGACAGCCTTAAGTGCATGGCAGTCAAGAAGCAACTGTTCACACCCAACACTATTAATTGGACGGCACTTGTAAACCTGTAGACAAAGAGACTTAAATGAAATTTACACAGAGAAAAACATTATTATAGGAGGACAATCTTACATTTTGCATTACATTAATAGTTCATGTTAAAAGAGGTTCCAGGAGCAATAAAATCAATCAGTACATACCTGTTGGACAAATTTGTTCAGAATTGCAGCTGCTAACTTGTCGCAAAACCTGCCAAAAGGAAATACATTTGTTTCTTGCATTATATCAACTAATAGTATGTAATAATGGAAACAACAATAAGTACCAAAAAATCATGTTAGCAAACAATTCCTAATATCTTTTAATCATATAGATTATATCAAAGCAATCATTACAACAGGTAATGTGTAATAAAAAACATGAGCCTACAATACAGAATACTACCAGACCTTACTTAATAAAAAACATCAATTCACCAACAAGTCACCCACCTTGTGAAGTACTTTCGGGAAGTGTGAAGGTTGTGCCTGATTAGAGGAATGGACGATGAAATGTGCTGGGAGATGGCTGTAACATAAGGGCTCTGGTCACCCGTCTGCTCCATCATCCAGTTGATCTTGGTCATGGAGGCCAGAGCAGGGTCACAAAGGCTCTCCTCATGGGCCACAAGGAGGGCTATGCACTGCCAAGTTGAGACTCAACATTAGCAATTTCTATTTGGTTTCCATTTCAAAGTTATTTCAGTTTAATATGAAAAAAAACTCAATTCAAGAAGTATGGTCAGCATTATGATTATTAGTTCATGTAAATATATCATACAGACATAAATATACATATAGAACTTCTCTGTTACTGCAGTGTAATCTAGTAAACCAATAAAACCTGATATTGATACATCCATTATATTATAGAATAAAAAAAAAAACACTGATATTTACTGAATATAAATGGAACTAGACTGGTTGAAACAATACACTCTTATTCTTTTAGTTCTTATATGTGGTTTAACAACCTAAAATACATTATTAATTCTTCTACTGATCAACTTTCCCTCCTCTTCTCCCTTTCCTTTTCTTTCATCTCCTCCTTCATCCTACCTCCTCCTATACCTCAATTACACACCTGAGCCAGCACTGCATGGAACAAATCCTGTTCATGGGTAAGGCTGATGGTGTGCATTAATGCAGGTGGACTCCTCTCCTTCAACTTGGCCTCCAGCCTTCCTGTCATCTCTTCGCAGTACTCAGCTGACACAAGCACTGAGCACACTCTTCGTACGTCATCCTCACTTAGCTTCGGAGTGTCGCCTTCACGCCACAGTGTTTGGACCTTCACATTGTATATTGAAATATAAGGCATTGTTTGTCAAACTAAAGATGACTATATAAAGGACAAAATCTTTGTTTAACAAAATAACATATAACCGCATACTACTGAAAATTACAAAAGTCTTACTTGTGCCAATACAGCAGTGAGCTCTTTCATGTTAATGTCCTTAGGCATTGGGATGTTTGCTCCAACCTTTGGAAGTGCTGCTCTAAGCACTTTGGTGCAGAACTCTCGCAGATGTTTCTGTAACACTTCGACCAATCCTCCCATACTCTCTCCGGGCCCAAGACGGAGAAATTCAACAAGGACATTCTATAACAAAATCAAAATAATTAATAAATATATATTGATACTATCAAGGCATGATAATACTGATAATGATCATAAAACTAATACCTTACTGTATATTCATAAAGTCCAGCAATAACTGAAGCTAAATCAAAGTCTACATCAGCCTACTTTGTATATGGTGAACAGCTCTCCACAGCAAGGTACAACATTAGATTCCTCTGCATCAATGTGTTCAAACTTATAACTCTTCATATCGTTGGCAAACTTCTCAATCTGTTCATTCAGTCTCCTGCAAAAGACACGTACTGATTAATGCAAAGAATCACATGGTATTAAGATTAAACTTTCCTTACGTATAAACTTTCCTTACACACAAAGAATTTACCCTCACAATGCTTACTCATTTATCAGATTACTTTTAACCCTTTGGTGCCGGGTGACGCCAATCGGCGTGCAAACAAACAGCTCGAAAGCTGGCGTGCGACTGTACGCCACGGCGGCGCTCCAAAGCGCGGCGAGCCAGTGATTCGGGCTGATGTCCCCTACTCATGCTCTCAAAGTCGGCGCGCCGCCTTTGTTTGCTAGAGCGTAGAGTTTTTGTTTTGTTTTGTACACCCTGCGTCATTGGGTTAAACATTGCCATTAATATTACATACAATGATAGTTAACTTACTTGTCCATGCTTTCTATATAAATCCTGAGGTAAGGCTGGAAGCAACGACACACTGCTCCACTGAAGGGGGACACCAGCGTCTCTCCTGGGGATGCAGCCTCCTCAAAGGGGTTTGTGTTTTCTGTTTTGCTCGACTGCTCATCCTTAAAATAACAAATTAATTTCCAAAATAACAAGGAAAGTAAAATATATGCATGTTATCTTACATGAAAATAACATTCTAAATAACAAAACACTGAAAAAAATCTACAAGCACTTGCAAGCACCCACGCACGCATGCAGGTATGCACGAATGCACGCATACATGCTCACACACACACACACACACACACACACACACACACACACACACACACACACACACACACACACACACACACACACACACACACACACACACACACACACACACACACACACACATACATATGTTTAAACTAATTCTTGCACAGTTATCTTACCTCCACAAAAGGATTGGTAGACACAGATGACTTTGGAGTTCGGTCATGAGGCTGGAAGCTGGTGTATTTTCTCACAAGGAGGCTTTCAAGTTCAGACATTATCTGCAGCAAAGAAAATGTATATTCCATTTAAACTTTTTTTCACTCTCATTTGCAATGCATTTCAGTTTTATAGTTTTGTGCATGATCTTATACTCTTTGTTTTCAGTCTCCTTAATTTCTCTCCTTTTCCCTTTCTTTCCTTCTATGTGTCACTCAATATTTCTTTCTAGTTATCCCTGTCGTACTGTCTATAATGTACAAAAAATTAATTGGCTACTTTTTCAGTTAAAAAGAGGATAAAAATTATACAAACCTTGTGAGCATGTAGCAATGTGCCAACATCTATGTCCTGTGGTCTCAACTCCATTGCATGAGACAGCTGAGATCTTGTGACTTCACAAAAGGCCAGTGCTAAACGTGCTGGTACCTAAAATGCAAAGGTAATCTTGTCAGAATACAAGATAAAAGTAAAAAGCTAACCATGGAAATGTAGAATATAGTATTCTTACTTTCAACATCCAAGTTTCATAATCCTGATTGTATAAACAGAGGACAATAATTATCAAGAAAAAAAAAGAACTTTTAAAGAATTACAGATTAACCACACACATCACATCAGTTAACCCCTTGGTGCTGGGTGACGCTGATCGGCGTGTAAACAAACCGCTCAAAAGCTGGCATGTGGCTGTATGCCGCGGCGGCGCACCAAAGCGCGGCGAGCCAGTGATTCGGACTGATGTCCCCTACTCACGCGCTCAAAGTCGGCACACCGCCTTTGTTTGCTAGAGCGTAGATTTTTTGTTTTGTTTTGTACACCCAGCGTCATTGTGTTAAAGAAGTTGTAAACTTGACACTACACACCTGCCAGGATGGAGGGAACATTGCAGCAAGGGTTTTCTCAAACTCCACTGCTGTTTTCAGGAGCCACTTGCGCCTCAGGTCTACCTTTGTTAGCCAAGCATCACTCTCTCCTCCAGCAAAGAGTACTTCGTATTCAGCTAATTGTGTTTTGATGACATCCTCAATGATAGTTTTCCTGTGGAAGCAAGAAAATATGGCATCATGAGATTAAGTCACCTTATGGTTATGCTCTCTCCACTGTGTGTATATTTGTGACCAAAATTTCTCAGCTTTGCCTTGCTTCCCAGAAAAAAAGTGAATACGTAAAACAATGCAATTAAAGGTAACTTGGGCAAGAATTCATATTTCATAATTACTACATTCACATTCACATAAAAAAGGAAGGAACAATGCCATGAGGTGCTTCTAGGATTGTTTCAGGTAGATACTGGGGTACAAGAAGGTAATGAATATGTTTCTAGCAGTTGTAGATTCCCTACACTATGATAATTCTGATCTTATGCTTACTACATGCAAAGAGTTGTCAAATCAATGGCCATGAAGTGCTTGTAAGACTGGTTTAGGGAGAGAAGGGGATACAAGGGAATAGGGATAGGTTTAGGGGGGAAGGTGCAGGAAAACCCTTACAACATGTACCAGAATGACTTCCTACTGACAGTGAAAAATATAAGAAAACTGTCAGCTAGATTTTGAAAGGTAATACTTAATTGAGCTTCTAAGTCTGAACATCAAAATTACAAATAAACCTAGTTGAATGCCACTAGACTTTACGAGTTAAATCTTATTTCTATCAAGAATATGAAAGTAAGAAATTATATTGAATATACTTTGTCACAAGGATGAAAAGCTATCACTCACAGATATATAACTCCAACAGGATAAGAAAATTATCAATACTTACTTGACTTTGGGATCGAGCTCTGAAACCACAAGGCAAGCTTCTGCCAACTCCTTGGTTGGAGCAAAACGACGAGCATTTGGTCCATGAAAGGCTCTATGGAAGTCTTCCAAAATCTGCTTCTCAAGGTCACCTCTAATTTGTTCAACCTGAACAGAAAATTAAATATACACTGAATATGAATATAAAAATACTATGAGAAAAAAAATCCCTTTATGATGCATCAAACTCTCTAGGCACCACTCAAGTAGAGAACAAAAAAGATGGAAATTGTTTTTGTGTACAGTGTTAAAATGTATGGGTAGTACTATTACTTTCTCACTCAGTTAGAAGCTGAACTTGTGTTAATTGTGTTATGAATTCGATATTACTTGTACTATCTTCATACAAAAGACTGAATATTACATTTTTTAATTAAAATTTTATTCTGTAACTTGAAACCACTTAGGAATTCATATTCATTAATTTCCTGCCAGTACTTGATGAACTTGAAAAATACTGACTGTAGTGTTCTCTCACCTGGCGAGCTAAGTCTGCCACTTGTGGAATGTGTTTATATCTATTGAGGTGGTCAAGGACGTTCATCACTCCTTGCAGCAGAGTTGCAATCTCTCCATATTCTCTTCTAGCCTTTAGGGCTCTGAAATTGTTAAAGATTTCTAGATAAGCACAGAACACTTAGGATATCATAAAGGATTTTTTTCTTACTACAACAAACACAACACTACTTGTGTATGAACCTTTTTCTTCTCATGTGATGTGCCTGAAAATAAAGTTTTAACTCAATGGCATCAGGAAAATGCTGTGCTGATTTCAGAATTATTTGTGAAATGTCTCTGCAAGTGCTTAGCCATAAAGGAGTCGATTACTAGAATTTGTGACTTTACCTGCAGGGAAAACCTCTTTTTTTACTAATGCTATGAATATCAATTGTATTATTTTTATTATAGGCATTATAATAACTATAATGTTATTGACATTAGTAACGGCAATATAAGATAACGTAAGTAGTTTCGTAAATCAAGGAAAAGGGTAAATAGGCAAGACAGGTAGTACTCATAATAGGCTCATTGGTGACTTAGTCCAAGTGTAGCCATATATGTGTAAAAACAATTAATAAGGTAAACTCACAGTGGGCACAGCATGTACCATGCCCGTCGGCTTTGGGTTAATAGATGTTCTGGACTAATGCATTGAAAGACAATTTAACAGTGCCATTGCTTGATACAACAAATTATTATAAGATTCAACTATAACCTTACCTTTTCATATTTGACTCCTACTTCACTGCAGTTTCCATGAATCTAATATTTATTCCTCAATTTATCAACATTCACATACAGAGAACTGGAACAAAACGAAACACCAAGCCCTTTCCCACAGGGCCCAAAAAATAAAGAACAAACAATATAGTTGCATACTTACTGTAATTTCTGGACTCCTTCTACTAACATCTGAAGGTGATTGAGTGTAGTAATAGAGGTGGTGAGATTCTTCTTGGCTGTGTCCAGCTGCTTTATGTCACGCGTAATCTCCTTCACTCGCTGCTCGGATTCCCCTGCTCTCTCCTGCACATTGCAATGAACAAGTACTATATGAATACTGGCTTTCCTTGTTACAAATTATCCTAAATCTATGAGTGTGGATATCAACAGAAGCTGTATTTTTTGTTATATCTGTTCCAGTAATATATTTCACAGATTAAAGTTTCAGTCTAAACAGGAGTAAGAGAGAACAGTTTTCATTCAGCAAGATGTGTTACTGATAAAAAAAAAAAATTATTGCTTTAAGTAATGGTGATGAAAAACATATCTAAAGGTGAAAAAACATGTAAAAGATGTTCAGTAAGAAATAAAGACTGCATAACAATTTATGTATTGTTAAAACAGACTTTTCAAATTGAAGCTTAACTTACCTTAATATCCTGGAAGCGTGCAAATAATTCTGCAATAGCTTCTTGCGCATTTAAGAGTGATGCTCTTCCATCCTATAATAAAACAAATAATTAGGATATAAAGGAAGCTAAAACAAATATATATGCACAAACTTGTATAATTGTATGTATAAATATATATATTATATACATCATATAACATATATATATATATATATATATATATATATATATATATATATATATATATATATATATATATATATATATATATATATATATATATAAAGTGAGAGAGAGATAGAGAGAGAGAGAGAGAGAGAGAGAGAGAGAGAGAGAGAGAGAGAGAGAGAGAGAGAGAGAGAGAGAGAGAGAGAGAGAGAGAGAGAGAGAGAGAGAGATACATATATACATATATACATATATACATATATACATATATATATATATATATATATATATATATATATATATATATATATATATATATATATATATGTATATACATACATATATGTATATACATACATATATGTATATACATACATACATGTATATACATACATACATGTATATACATACATACATGTATATACATACATACATGTATATACATACATACATGTATATACATACATATATGTATATACATACATATATGTATATACATACATATATGTATATACATACATATATGTATATACATACATATATGTATATACATACATATATGTATATATACATACATACATACATATATATATATATATATATATATATATATATATATATATATATATATATATATATATACACACACACACATACATACATACATATATGTATACGTATATATAAGTATATGTATATATACATACAAGTATATAATATATGTGTGTGTGTGTGTGTATGTGTGTGTGTGTGTGTGTGTGTGTGTGTGTGTGTGTGTGTGTGTGTGTGTGTGTGTGTGTGTGTGTGTGTGTGTGTGTGTAAAATTATGTTTATAAATTCACATTTATAATGAAGGCCAAAATTCATGAACAAAAACTATAAATCTTAATTAATCAATTTCTAAAATCTGGACAACAAACCATACAATACTTGAAATGAGAGTATTATTTCAAAACCTCCAATTCCCTTCCTTTACCTGATCCACATTAGTTAGCGATCGGATGACAGTTCTAATCTGGTCATCCGTGGAAGTGATCTTCAGCCGCATCTCCTCCAGCACATCGTCTATGTGGTGGAGCGACTGTTCTGCTGGGAAGCGGTTGTTGATGTATTCCACTGTATTGAACTCTGGTGAATCAAAGGGGTCATCGCTGGGGAGAATCTGAAAAGGTGTTATATTGTACCATGGGGATTTGATCAAATAAACATAATGAGAATAGTTTGTATAGTTTACAAATAGAGATGAATGGTATTTAAAGATATTCAGCAAAAAGAAATATGGGATTAAAAAGTATATAGGACCAAATTAAATTAAATGCCATTAAATTAAATGTCTGTGCTATATTTGTTTTCATTTTAACCCATTGCTGATAGGCATGCCATGCCATGCCCACTGTGAGATTACTTGTTGGATTGTTTTTACACATAGATGGCTACACTTGTACTAAGTCACCAATGAGCCAGTTATGAGTACTGCCTGTCTCGCCTGTTTACCCTTTTCTTTGATT